TTTTTTTTTTTTGGCTTTTTTTTTTTTGTGTGTGTGTGTGTGGCCTGCTCTCATTGGTGTTTGTAGGTTCCAGTTTCTACAGTATCTAGTCTGGGATATGTGAGGCAAAAAGAAACTCCAGGGAACCCACCATTGTGTCATTCCTCAAGTCTCAGGATCCTAGCTAGTCTGCCACTTCTTCTCCAATTTTCAGAGTCTTCTAATATGATTTTCTACATAATTTTCAGGGCTTTTCATTGTACTTAGTAAGAGGAATAGGAAAAAGTACATCTGCTCTATCTTCTCTGAAGTAGAAGTCTCTAAATGTAAATGTTCATGAAATTTAACATGACTACACCTACATAGCTATAATGGTTTTGATGAATCAAATGAAATATGAACTATACTTTCAAAGGTATGAGTGCATCAAAAAACCTAGATGGCAAAAGGAAAAAATAGCTTTCAGGAGGGAAAGCTGTATTCAAGGAAATGACAGAGAAATTTTTTATCTTGTGTAAAGTATGTTTCCAGATTCAAGGAGAGAAGGTACTGGTCTTGAGTTTCTTAATGCTCATGCTAATTGATGGGAGGATTTGGCCACTTCTTGTCTTCAAAGGGAAAGAAATCTGTATTTTATATGAGGAGAGAAGTAGCCATACTGTTCCCCCTTTCTACTGAAACCTGTGGAAAATCTATCCCTGATGTTTGTGCCTCCTTAGCAAACACCCCCAATGGCCCCTGCCTTTTCTGGGATCCTGTTCTAAAGTGAGCTTCTGTTCCAGGTCGCCTGAACTGGTGGTCCACTGTGTGCACAAGCTGTAAACGGCTTCTTCCTCTGGCCACGACAGGGGATGGGAACTGCCTTTTACATGCCGCCTCACTGGGTAAGCTCTGCAGCACAGACAGAGGGTAGCCAGGCTCCAGGCCTGCGCAAGGAAAGACATATGCTATTGAAGGAAAGACATACATACGCTAAATAGAGTCACCCATGTCACTGTCATCTGGGAAAGTCCCCAGGAGATAGAGCTAACAATCCTGGCCCTTCTTGTCAAGTAGCTTGCAGTTGGTAGAGAGACAGAATACACATAAGAAAAGACCTGGCGTGAGAGAAGGAGGCCTTAAGCATAGCCACAGGGATGGGACTTAGAGACTCTTGCCTGGTACAAATAAAAAGGACTTCCTGGAGGAGGTGGGATCTTTACTGAAACTTGAAGAACTTCAGAGACTAGAAGAGGACATTGCAGGCAGGGAGACCCCGCAGATAAAGCATAAAGGCAGGAACGGACAGGGTGTTTGGAGGTAGGGGTGAACAAGGTAAGGCTGGAGCAGGAAGTTTTGGGAGCAGCGCATGAGGCTGAGTAAATGAGGATCCACTATGTTGACAGCAGTCAACAATTGGCCTGGACTAATGGAAACAGACGTAGGTACTGCTCAGATAAGTCACAGGGGAGTCGGCATACTCAGAATACACCGCAGAGAGATCAGCAGCCTTGTCCAACAGAGACATGAGCTTCCCAATCACACAAAGCCACACTACACAGAAATATTTGGATAATTGAGGATCATCATCCACTTTCTGGAACCTCAGTTATCCCTTTAGGCCCAGCGTTAGATGCACAAGGCCGAATCCATTTTGATAGGTGAGTCTGGGTTTGCACCAGGGACCATCAGGGCTGGTGGCTCCCTACCCGCTCTGGAGGATAGCGCCTCTCCAAAACACATGACCCTCACACAGGAATGCGGTCCTTGGTCAAACTCGCATCCCAACAGACGTGGCTTTAATTGGGTGCTGTGACCTACCTCAAGGGCCAGCCCCCAGACCTCTCTCTCTTTGGACCTGCAGTGAGGCCTAATCAGCAAGAGGTAGGTGAGATAAGACTGTAACGGGCTTCAAGGGAAATACATCAGGGTTTTGGAAGGGTCCCAGAGGAGGATGGAGACCAAGAGCAAGGGCAACATTCCCCAGGCTTGACCTGCAGTGAGGAAAGGCAAGGCACCCACTTACCTGCTTCATCTCCATGACATTGGAGCACACTCTGCTTGTTGGCATTGCAAAAGTATACTCCACATTCACCATGGTGAGAAAATGAAAATCAGTGACCCCCACCCAGCGGCGGCCACTCTTAACAGTCTGGTGGTGTCATCGTCTTCCAATCTTCTGTCTATTCTGTAGGTGAAATGATGATCTTGCTGTGTTCACAGTCTTGGATCCAACATTTTCCCTTACGACTTGAGAATTTTCCCTGCTGTTATCCTTCAGGCAGACGATTTTCAGCAGTTGGGTCATATTTCATCATAGTGGTTAATATTAACTATTCCCCTATTATTCAGCATATTTTGCCTTGTTCTTTGTAAAACCTGGAGAAAGAATCTAAAAGAGTAAATCTCTCATCTGTGTCTAACAGCAGCCTTATTGTGAAGTCTGGATCATGGAAATGCTTTTGTCCCTTGCATATCCAAGGATGCCCAACCAGTTGAGCCTTTGAAAGCATCAGTTCATGTTACTCTCCTTCTGAAAACTCTCCAGAGGCTCACAGCTCCCTTGAGAGCCCCCTTTTCACTCTCCCTCTCCCCTCAGTCCCACTCTAGCCATCTTTCCCTCTTGCCTTTTCTCAAGTACTGCCCCCTCCAGGTCTGTCCCTGGCCTTTCGCTGTGCTGGGACAGCAACTTGACTCCTTCCTCCACCCATTTGAGCCTTTGCTCCTATGTCTCCATTCATGCCACAGCAAATCTGCCTGCCTCACCTCTCCTCGTGGAGCTGCCACCCTCAACATCGTACACTCTGTGCCAACCTCATGGCTGCCTCACTTCCCACTTCCCCACAACATGCGCTCCATGAGATTTTAGGAACTTCATGTGTCCCAGTCACTGCCACGCATACTGCCAGCACCTAGAATGAGTGGGTGGGTGGATGGATGGATGGATGGATGGATGTAGAAGGGTGAATGGCTAGGTGGATGTGTGGGTGGGTGGATGGATGGATGGATGGATGGATGGATGGATGGATGGATGGATGGATTCCCCTGTGCTTTCCCTTGTAGCCAGGGCTGCCCTTCTTTTGAGCGCTTCTCCCATGAGTTGGGGTTCTTGAACACATCTGAGCTGCCAAGAGCACATTCTCAGAGATGGTTCATTTCCCTCTATATCCTCTCAGCACTTGACACAGGGTGAGACCCTCCTGCTGGGAAGCAGGCATTCTCTAGTGGGCCTGGTGTGTGCAGTGGTGTCACTGACACTCTGCTTCTCAGGAAGCTGAGATGCCTCAGGGCTGGAGATGAGGGAAATGGCAGGCCCTGGAGAAGCCAGGATGCTAATGGCCTCCCTCGCCTGGAGCCCTCCATGAGGACACTGGACAGCCTGTCCCTGTCCCCTAGTCAGTCCCCCACCCAAATGTAAGACTTGAATAATGACCATTAGGTCCTCAAAGCAAACCAGCAACATTGAGAGTGGGTTGCCAAGGGCGCCGGAGAGGAAAAGCACTTGATTTTCACCCACTATTATTTTGCTAAGAACAGGATGTGCTGCTTCATTCACCTACTTGCCTTAATGGGAAGCCTCAGGAAGAAGGCTAGAGGGGAATTAACAGAACCGCTGAGTAAGGAGGCTGCTCTGCGTGCAGACAGGAGGTCCTCCCAGTGGGTCGTGGTAGTTTGCATCACCTCTGGCTTGTCTTTTCCTCACGTCCTTTCTCTCCTGTGTTCTCCATGGCCTCCTGGCTCCAGGAATGTGGGGGTTTCACGACCGGGACCTGGTGTTACGGAAAGCTCTCTATACCATGATGAGGACGGGAGCCGAGAGGGAAGCCCTGAAGCGGAGGTGGAGGTGGCAGCAGACGCAGCAGAATAAGGAGGTTGGTATCCACTGGCATGGCCGGAGGCCGGGACCCAGGTCAGGTGCAGAGCATGGTCCCTAGGCCCCAGACTGTCTTATGAGGGGAGGCAGAAACAGTCCCTGGGATCAGGAAAGTCTCCTGCTTTTAAGCCCATGGAGGAGGAGCCTGTTGAAATAGCAGAGTCCCGGCAGACAGCAACTATGCGTCCACTTGTGCTTCCTTAAGGCATGATTATGAAAGCTGCCTACCTTCATTCCCAAAAGCATCCTGGCTTGGATGATGAATTATATATATGGCCGCCTGCTGTCAGGTGCAGCCCATGGCTCTAGCCCCTGTGTGTGAGGTCAGTCCAAAGGGATTCCCAATTGTCCCCAAGCATGATAAACATGAGGACCTTGCTCTTCTAGAAGAATCTGCCTGCTTTCTGACTACAGTTGATCCATTATCCCTTTAAACTTTGTAATGGCCAGCCACAGTTAGGTGCATGCACAGGTTAATGCTCCGTCATCCCCAGCCCCCGAGAATGACCCTTGTTGGTGGGCAGATTCCCAACAGCTCTGGAATTAGAGCTTGGAGCTTTTGAAAATATAGTGTGCATAGCAAAGGTGGCCAAGAGGGTGCAGTTAGTGTAGTTGGTAGCTACCTATAGATGTGCCTGGCCTGGGTCCCAGTGAGGCTGTTCTGGGTTGGGAGGGTGAGAGGAGGAGGGCAGCGCAGCTGTGGCCCACCCCCCTCTGAGCCAGTTCCCCTCTGCCAGTCAGGGCTGGTGTACACGGAGGAGGAGTGGGAGCGGGAGTGGACGGAGCTGCTGAAGCTGGCCTCCAGTGAGCCGCGCACACACTTCAGCAAGAACGGCGGCACAGGCGGGGGGTAAGTTCTGCCCCTGCTCTCCCCAGAAGTCACCTCCAGCTCCAGGCCACCCAGGGCTACACATAGCATGGGTGGATGGCACGGGGGGAATGTGGGACCCTCATGCTGTGGAAGACAGAAAGATTCCAGCTTTCCAGCATTAGCTTCAAGACAAGGATGCACAGAAGGACTGTGGGTAATGGCTGGCCCCTGCCGGGTGCTGGTGGAAGGGTACGCAGCCCCCATATGCACTATGCAGGCAGAGGTGAGCTCACATGAGCTGCCTCCAGGCCACTTTCCTTGAACGTTGCTATGCAGAGCAGGTGAGGTGTGCGCCCTCAGGGCACAGCTGGCCTTTGGAGGTCACACGTGATGGTGAGCGTTCCCACACATTGCCATCACGCGGACCTGGCTCTGAAGTTTGGATTTTCTCCCCAACTAATTAATTTGTGGCTTCAAGAAGTCACCCTGAAAGCAGAAGCTCATTAAGCTAGCCTGCTGTTTCCCAGATGAGCTCCGTGGATATTATATGTGTTCCCAGCAAAAAGGCTCCACGTCTGTGCATGTTTAGGACTAGCTTGTTCCTACAGAAACACCTTGGATGTTCTAGCGTGGAATGAAGAGTGCGGCCAGACCAACGGGGCAGCCATACAGCGTTGATCATGGCTTATTCTTCAGTTCGTATTCTCTGGAACCTGAAAGCAAAGGTGTTGCTCCTAGAAAAGGTCTCAGCCAAACATGAGAAAGCGTGAGCAGTAACACCAGGGAGACCCACGGAAGGAGGATTGCATGCAGCTCCAGGCTGCCCTCAGGCTCATGGGCCCTGCAGCGGGCACCTGGGTCCTCATCCACCCACCAAGGCAGGGCCTAGTGCCTCATGGGTCAGCTCTCCCTGGAGGCCCTGGCTGGAAAAGAGGCTCCCACAGAGCTGCAGCAGCAGCGGTGGCGTCTGACACCATGTTTACAGATGAGATCGTTAGAAACCCACATACGCTGGCACACCCTTCCTCCATGTTTTAAGGCTATGGTATCTCTGTACCAACAGCCTGTCTTGGTAGGACATTTGAGGACAAGCATTCTGAAGTCTCGGTCAACTGGAAAACTGCTCTCTTCCTCTGCACGCCTCCCAGGTCCTGCCTGTGATGGGTCTTAAGCGTTCCTCCACGTCGTTTTCACGGTTGCCTCTCTCCCTCCTGCCACGGGGCAGATGCCTGATACATGCTGGCAGACTGGATCCAGTCCAGGTGTCTCTGCCAGGGACAGGGAGGAGTGGGGAAAGACAGCAGCAATGATAACAATAATCACAGGTGATCATCACATACACGTCTCCTGAGTACCCCCATCCAGGAGGAGCTTCCCCCAAGGTCCCATGGCTGGTGAGCCCATCTGACTCCTAAGGCCACAGCCTGGTCCCCTGCTGCCTGCTCCCTGGGGCCCGAGGGATTCAGATGCTAATGGGGACATAGGGGCCACTTGGTGTCTGTCCCTATCTCCCACAGAGTCTGAGTGATCAACTGTAATCTAACAAAAGGATTAGGTCCCTTTAGGAATATCCAAAATGGCCCGGACATTGTCCCATTTAGTAGGATAGCCTGGTCCCCTCCTCCTGGAAGCCACAGTTCTGGTTGCCACATCACAAAAGAGAAGGAAGAACTCGGGGAATGGCCAGAGAGGGGAAACTAAACAACCAAGGGTGGATGGGAGTGACCCCAACAGAAAAGAATGGAGAGGTGAGGCGGGAAGGTATGGGTGGTGTTGGGGAAACAGAAGGAAGGAGGTGAGCACGGGTCGTGTAGGGTGGAGTGGGGTCAGGGAGACCATAAGAGGGACCCGTGCTAGGTCCTCTATCTCCTCCTTTCAAACCCTACCTCACAGGCCTCCAGTACACCTTCCACAGATTGGAAAACCGAGCCTCAGTGGGATTAGATAACTGTTCCAAGACCACAAAAATGATAAATGGAGGAGCCAAAAAGTCAAAATGTGGTCTGATCATTGTAGAGCCTCTTTTGACCAGGCTCCACAGCCCTAACGAAATCCCTCAAATACAGCAGAGTCTGTAGAACCTCAGGCAACACATCAGCCTGCAAATGAAACCACCACTCTGGGCTTCAGATGGTGATGGGAATGAGGACGCAGCCACCTGGTCCCCACAAAAGCATTGATGCTCAGGTCGGAATCCTGTGCCAATGATGCAGGAGGCACTTCTAGGGTTTCAGCAACAGGTGTTTCCAGTGGAGAAAGAAAAAGGAAAAACAAACAAACAAACAAAAAAAACACCTCAGAAGAGGACAGAACACATGCAATAGGAATCTATCTAACAGAGTTGCTTCTGTAGCCAGATGCCTCCTTGGGTTACCTGGAACCTTTGCATGGCCAGTCAAGGAGGGAGGCCTATGGAACCAGGCATAAAATGCACATTTTCCTGGGAACAGGGAGTTTTGGCTGAGTCCCATGGACTGGGGTGATGGGCAGAGAGCGCCTCAGCAAGGCACCGTGCAGCTGTGCAGGACTCGCCAACAGGGTGCTCTAGAGTGGCCAACTGCTCCAAGAATTCACTTGGGGTTCAGAGTCCATAGAGAGGCCTGTGTGTCCAAGCACAGTGTGCTCTGCCTTTTGCCTGTGTCCTCTCTCCCCATGTTGAGCTGAGAGGTGTGGGGCATCATCTGTGGGGCTTGAGAGCGCAGAGACGAGTTTCTGACGCCTGACTGAAGGGCCTGAAGGCAGAAACTGGCAAGCTCAGGGTTCACGGGGCTGTGGCAGGCTGTGCAGGCCAGGACACGGGGCTGTAGGGGATGTAAGGCCAGGATGCTGCGAGCTGCCCGAGGGCCAGGCATGGATTCAGGGAGGAGGCCCCAAGCAGGCTGGCTTCAGGACTCACCTATGGTGGGGACCACACAGAAGGCCAGCCCCTGAGGCCAGGGCTGAGGGTGGACACAAGCAGTCAGTGAGAGGAGTCACCACCGCCACCCAGGGACCTGAGGACACAGCCCCTCAACTGGCAGAGAGCTCTGAAGACCCACAAAAGCACTTCCTCAGACAGCAGGCCAGAACTGGGACCTCCAGCGAGCCCAGCGGGCCCTGAAGGAAGACAGCAAGAAGGACTTTGCCACTCTCCTGCCCCTCCTCTCTGCCTCTGCTAGCCCCACAGGGGACACAGACGGCAGCCAGAGAAGGGGAGGAGGCAAAGGGTGAAACAGAGAAGCCAGCTGGCAGCTAACCCAATCTTTCAGGAGGCTCAAACTTGGGGCTGATAGTCCCCTGCACAGGAAAGTGACCGGAAGAACCACACAAAATTTCCAGGGTGCCACCCGGGAATAGGAAAGAGCAAGTTAAGGGAGAGCTTGCAGGCATGATGGCGAGAAGAACTAAAGTGGCCTTCTTCGTCCCAGCCTGGGTTTCCCAGAACCTGTTCCCCACGGATGAGGGTAAAGGGGTGCAGTGCGGGCCCTGCATCCTGCTCTGGGAGCCCCTGCTATGGAGGCAGATGGGGCAGCCTCTGTTCTATTGGTCCTTGACACAGATGATGGCCTGGAGTCATTTTTAAACCTGTTACTTTCCCAGAAAGCGACTATGTCACTTATCTGAAGAGGTCAGAAGGGACCAGAGACCAGGTGTGGGTGTGAGCTAGACCCTCTTCCTCTCACTGTGCCTCCCAGGACTCAGTGGCCAGGCCCTGGCCACGTGGGAGAACCAGGCCTTCCCTAGGGCTTGGGGAGGGGTTAGTGAGATCAGATGGGAATTTGAACAGTGTCACCTACTGAGTCCATGTTATGCGTCAGGCAGTCCCATGAGCTGTCATTATCATCACCAATCACAGATAAGGAGGCTGAGATTCAGAGAATTAGATAATGTATTAGTCAGGGTTCTCCAGAGAAACAGAACCAATAAAAGACATATATATATAAAGAAATCTAATGTAGGTATTGGCTCACGTGATTATGGTGTCTAAGAATTCCCACGACCTGGCATGTGCCAGCTGGAGACCCCGGAAAGCCAGTGGTGTAGTGCAAAGACCCAAGAGCTGGAGAACTGATGGTATGGGTCCAGTCTGAATCTGAAGACCTGAGAACCAGGAGTGCCGAGGGCAGAAAGTCCATGTCCCAGCTCAAACAGGTTTGGTTATTCTGTCGTCCTCCACTGTTTTGTTCCCATCCGTGAATAGATCAGATGAGCCCCACCCACATTGGTGAAAGCCATCTGCTTTCTGCTCTCCAGCAATTCAAACGCTAATCTCATCCAAAACGCCCTCGCAGACACACGCAGAAATAACGTTTAACCGGCTAGCTAACCGTCACAGGTTAGCTTCCAGTGTCCCACAGGCTGAAAGGTACAAAGCCAGAACCTGAACTTAGAACTGACCAAAACACCGAAGCCCACACTCTTGGCAAATGCAGACCAGGCATGAGGAGTAGGAATCAACAACTTATCTTGACTATGGTGAAAATAATCATTTTTGTTCTTTAAACTTTTTAAAGAACTACTTATTTGTTTTCTGTTTTATGAGAAGGGTTAAGTGGAAGCTGAGAGGCCAGTTGGATGGACAAAGAGGAAGGGAGAGCAGAGCAAGGGGGGCCTTTGGGGGATCCTCTGGCAGCCCCCAAGGCATCTTCTGTCTAGGTCCTTAACTTTTCTCACATGCTAAGCTCTCTGCTTTCTCTCTGTAGTTGAGTTTCTGAAATTTCACTGACAATGTGTTTGCTGCATTTCTTTTTATTAGCCTTTTTCAGAAGTAGCTATTATCCCAAGTGATTTCCTAGCACACAGTCTGAGAGTTGTCAATTTCGGTCAATCTTCTGAGGAAAAGCAAGAGGCATTTTTTTCCTGGGAGATGCCCACACCACAGCCTGGTGCTCCCAGGCCATGGGTCGACCTTGTGCAGGAAAGGAGGCATTCTTATGTGTATTCCTGAAGGTTTCATGACTTCCACCAGCAGACCAAGCAGAAAGAGCATCTGCTAACGAACGTAAGGTGTCCTCACTCTGCAGATATGGGACCCGGCTCCAATTTTTAAAGACATTTCT